CGGAGCATGCTGTCTGTGGTTGCCGTCAAAATTGCGGCCTTTCGGTTCCGCGACGACGCAATGCGTGAGGACCCCACCGTGAGGAGCCTTGGTACACTGACAATCACCTCACCTGGTCTCCCACGTATCTGTCTTCGTCCAAAAAGCAGCGGTATCCTCATCGGGCTGTTCCACGTGCGTCATCAGATCCCGCCTGACCTTCTGCCTGCCCTGGTCAATGCCTTGGTCCTCTTTTACGGCCGACATTGCCTCGCCGTCTGTGGCAACGGATCGGAGAAAACAAACAACGCCCCTAAAAGATCTTGAACTTTGCGCTGCGCGTTATCTCCGGCCGTCGCAACTGAGATCATATTTCGGCCGTGCGTGAGGAACTAGACTGGTCTGCTGCCAGTCAGTTCTACCAACGGCGATCTAAACTTGCTTCACAAAATACGTGCTACCGGCGAGCCGTAAACGCTTGCCCTAGCTCTGTCGCGCGTGGGGGCGGAGGCGGGCAGGGGGCGCCTCATGTAAAGCATCACGCAGCTTTACAACGTTGTACCTCCAACGCTCCTCACTTTGCCACTCGCGTCTTAAGGCGGAGATCTTCCAACGTTCGGAGATATTAAAGCAAGCATCAGATCCAATGAAATAAGCTCGCTTACGACTATTGGTTTACTTATAAATGAAAAAGACTGCTCCACGCAACATATTTTTTATTTCGTGAATATGCTCCTCATGAGAAAATTGCCACCATTGCATTCACTCATAGTCACCTAAATATCGCCGAGAGATGGCAGCACGGTAATGGAAGTGTTCGCTGAGCTAAATATCTGTTTTCGGTGAGCACTCATTTCAAACATACACCTTCTCACTAAGTTTATGTTCGCCTCTTCCCGCTCCCGGCTATGGGGAGGCGTGGTAGGTACAGGAGGGACGAAACTGTCTCGGATTCCAACTCGGCCTCTGACGTAGGTACTTCCATGGCTAGCGACGACGGCAGTGCCGCTAGTCCAGCTTCGGCCGCCTCTTCATCTGATGACCCTCTCGCGCCCCAGACCCGTTTCATTGGTTTGGACACTTCTGCCACAACTTCTGGACTGCTCCCATCCTTCCGCCCAACGTCTCTAACTCCGACCCTCGTCCGACTTCGACCACTCCGGTGCCTGCTCGATCTACCGCCCCTTGCTTGATCATGAGCAGAGGTCGTCATAGCTGTGAGCCCATTCTTGACCCAATCGGCTCTTGCGTCGTAGTGCAGCCTCGTAACGGGAACGTCTGATTTCGAAATAAACGTTTTCTGGCAATAAAAACAAATTGAGGATATCCGCGAACCCCGCGATCTCCAAATTAAAGCTCCATCAAACGGAATGCTCGTCGTCAGAACAACCACGCGTGCACAAACTAAAACCCTATTGCAAAGCACCGAATATTGTGTAAGTATAATAGGTAAAAATGTTCCTTCGCTAGGCAAGAAACAACAAAAAAGGTACCATTTTCGCCCTTGGGCTCCGTTTCATGACGGAGGAGGAGATACTGGCGTAACTCAGAACCGAACATGTTTGCCATGTCCAACAGCTGACGCTGTTCTGAGATGGACAGTGTCGGGACAGCAGCCTACTTGTTTTCACTTTTGCAACAGTCCGACTCTCAGAGACCCTCACAGATGCCTACCTCCGATATCACGTCAAAGTATTTACACCCAATCCTCTTAGGCGCTTCAATTGCTAACGGTTTGACACGGTAGCAAGTACCGCAAAACACGAGACATACGGGAAAAAATTTGTTTAGAAAAATAGCAGGTGGGTGTATCTTACCAGCAGGCACGACGCACTGTCGAAACAAAAATTCCACAAAATCATACCCGCAGGCAATAAAAATAGGTCTAACAGATAGGTAAGAGCAGATTAACAAAGATGGCTCCCGACAAGAGCATAGGACACTCCGTTCAACTAAGAAATGCTCACAACACAATGTGGAAGGCTCCTAAATGATCGAGCGGGCCGGAGCAGATTAACAGATACGATAAGAGCGTACGTTCCTCCATTCAAACAGGAAGTACCCAATACCTAATACAGACAGCCCCAAACGATCGAGTGTGCTCCAAGCAGGCTATCAGATAGGGCCCCCGACAGGAGCGTAGGACTCTCTATCAAAAACGAAGTACTCGAAATCCAGTTTGGATGGTGCCCTTAAGATCGACTGTATCCGAGCATGCTATCAGATGGCCCCCAACAGGAGCGTAGGGCCCTACATTCAAATATCAAAATCCAATGTGCAGGGACCCCGAACAATCTAGTGTGCCCGAACAGGTTAATTTGAAGGGCCCCGAACGACCGAGTGTGCCCCAGGAGGTTAACAGATGGGCCTCCAACAGGGGCGTGGGGCCCTAAGCAATAACGGAGAATTGGAAGAGTCTTAGACCAATGTGCAGGGCCCATGGGCACATCGTGAGTGTGTCGGTAGGTTAACCGAGACTAACGTGAATGGCCCCTGAACAAACGAGAATACCCCGGCAGGTTAAGGCCTATCACTTTCGCTTGCGAGTATTCTTGGTCGCGTGGGAGCCCAAAGGCCTTTAATTTTGTTGCGTTTGGGTGAAAAACCTGAATCTGTTCGGCCGGTTATGGGCCCTTCGCAGCCAAGGGCCCCTCGGGGTCCAAATGGGCATGACCACGTGCCCCTTCTGATCCGCTCCTGGTCGCTTCAACGCCCTCCGTTGACCTCCCAACGTACAGTTCGGGTATCCACAAATGAACTTTCTCGACCGGCAGGTCTTTCTAACGCTTCTTCCAGGGATGCCCTTCATGGTATATCCTCGGAAAAGCCGTGCGGTGCCTAAAAAAAAATTGACGATTAGCTATGTCCTTCAAGCCGATGAGCTTCTCACGACAAGCACATAACCAACGGCAGCTTACAGCCTCGCACTGAACCTAATTCGCGTGGCGAGCATTCCATGCAATTTGTCCCAAATGACACGGCGCTTTATAACGTCGCATAACAGACTTATCACGTCCTTTGCGAGTTGCTGAGGCGAGCTACGATTCTTGCAACTAGCATTTAGAGTAGCAGTAGATAAGCCTAGTTATCTGGTATTCTTTGCCGAAGAGTATGTGAAGTGAACCTTGGCTGAGAAATCCGTGAAAAGCACCGATCTGAGTGACATTGGAAAATCACGATGTCACGGTTACCACTGATTTGTGACGTCAGCGCAAATATTATATAGTTTGTAGCATATTTGTGCCACCTGTTAGAATCCATCCTGATTAAAGCCATTGCGTTTGGAAGCATTTTATGGTTCGACGTGCTCAGGCAGCAAAACGTCAATGTTTCGAGATGCGTTCCACATAAACTCACGCTGCAAACGTCAGCGAGTACAGACCAATACTAAGCTTCGAGATTCGCCCAACTGTGATGGTTCGCGTAATTTGTTTCTATTTTCGCAGTTTTGTCACCAAATAGCTCGCAAAAGTGTCAACTTTTGTCACCAATCATACCCGGTAAATCGATGGCTTTTTCACGCTTGGCACCTGCCTTAATAATGCCGCCATGAAAGGCAATCCCACAAGAAGCGTTGCTTCTCTTAACTGATCCAAAACGCACTGTGCCAGCCGCTTTCGTTCAACAAACGTTCAACTAACTAGTGGCCATTAACCAAACAGTCACTTCATTTACACGGGTGGTTCCAAGGTTAACGAGCACACTGGATGTTCAGTATTTTGCGGTGAACATACTATATAAATCATCGGTTACCGGATAGCACCTCAGATTATTTGCCTGAAAAATTTGCTCTTGCGTTAGAACACATTCAACAACACGATCAAACAGTGAGGACAATAGTGACCTCTTCAGATGCCAAGGCAGCTGTACAATCACTTATCGATCCAGATTATCACCATCTACTTGTCAACATCGCCGAGCTCTATCATATATTACAAACCTAGGATACGCACACAACTTTTGTGAATTCTAGGACACAGAGACATCCCGGGTAATGGACGGGCTGATAAACTAGCCAAAGAAGCTTTGAAAGCCCACCACACCACAAACGTCCCAGTCGATCAAACATCTATGCAGTCTTCAGTTCACACACTGACAAGCATTTTTGGCTGCGACGATGGACAGACGCCACCAGGACACAATTTCATGACAATGAACCCGACGTTACGCCTTGGCCAGTACCGTAAACATTTGGAAGAGAAGGTGTTGGCTCATCTAAGAATGGATCACACTACACCGACACACAGCCAAGTATGCTTGCAACACCGTCGTGCCTATTTTCAGCCGGGCAACCATCCACTTTCGGCAAACATATCATCATGGAGTGCACCAAACGTTCTTGCTCAAACATTCCTCACCTGCTAGACCTTTTCAACTTCCTCAGACATACCGACCTGCTCCAGGCAATGCAAAAGTCAATCACAAAGGTTTCTTTTTTTTACTCACTTAACCACATTGCTCATTCAAAATCATATTCTCCAGGTGTGAAAGGGACCGAACGGCCCGGAGCGCCTCAAAGGATACAATGAAACTGAGGTGTGTTGCATGTTTGCAGTTGACGTACTTCTGTGTGAGTGCTGCCACGATTGGTCTTTTAACATGTCTCATCTCCTTACCTGATCGATTTGATACTCGGAATAGCCATTCCTTGTTGGAGTGCTTTAAACGTCAATACATACATACATACATACTCCTAACGCACGGCAATGGTCCTGCCTACTGCATTGGGACGCGAGCTCGTCAAAGACGTTCGGACGCGAGGCCGTTTTCTCAAAAACGCGGCGGGCCGGCCAGTAGAAGAGGAGGGTCTCGAGGACCCACCAGGATGCAACAGCAAAGCCAGTCCAGCGTCGGCAGCCCTGAACCCCTCGGAACGGCGCTGGCGGGATCTCCGCCCCCCGCCGCGGGCGCAGCCGGCGGCAGCAGCTGCCTGTCGCCAGCTGACTGTGCCGCCAGGTGGCGCGGCCGGCGGCGCGCCACGCTCGGGCGCGCGGGACGCCAGTTCGCGCCGGCGCCCGGCAGGCCGTACAGTGTGTGGGTGTGGGTGGGGGCTGCCGCGCACCGCTGGCGGGCACTGGGAACGCGTGACGCGCTATGGTGCTGGTGTACGCTGTCCGGGAGCGCTAGAGAGGTAAGGTGGCTGTCAGTATGTTGCGGCGGATGCCGCCCCGGCGCGCTGAGATCGGACCGCCGCCCGGCGGCCTACGCTGGCGGCAGAGTTGTACGGCTGCGAGGCAGATGTCACAGCAAGGCCACTTGACAGTTCTAGTTTGGCCCCCTCCCTCCCGCCTGCAGCTGCATGCAGGCCCTGGTGACGGCAGCAACAGCTGGTGTTCGAACTTTGCATCTGTGACAGTCGAGGTCGTGCCGCCAGGGATGATTGGAATCGGATTTTAGAGCAGGAGATTGAAGGTAGTAATTCTATCTCATTGTTTCCGCCGTAGAGGTCGCTTGCAGGGGCGGGCAGTTATAACAATGCCCCAGTTCCCTCCCTAGCAGCGCCGATTGAGGTCCTCCCTTAGCAGTGGAGCTGCAACATTGTGGTCCTCCCTTAGCAGTGGAGCTGGTCCTCCCTTAGCAGTGTGCAGGCCACCGGCAACGCCTCTGGTGAAGTATTGATCTTGGCTCGTCGTTGTGCGGCGGGCACCTATCGTTCCACAGCTGTTCTCCAGCGAGTAGTATCTGGGCTCGAGTAGTGGGCATTCGCTGGTAATCACTATGTCTCTTTGGACCCCTCGTTGTGTCGTAACGGAACAATTGCGTAAAATGCACAACATTTCAACTCGCCATCATCATTATCACTCATCATCATCCATTGCTCCGTCATTCCATTCATCATCACACATCATCGTCCCATCATATCACCCTATCGTGGAGTCGCGAGAGTCGGGATGTAGAAATTCTACTGACTAGAGGAACCGTGGTGATATAGATGTTACGAAAGCGGTTCAAGCATCTTTCAGTAACCGTTTATCTGATTATGCGCTCCGGAGTACACGAGTCAGGTGATGTAAACAACGATTAGTTCATCTCGCAGAAGCGGTTGCTCCGGCGTTGCTGTCCCAGTTCCTCGGCAAAAATAGCCAGGTTGTACAGAACACCGGTACAAACCGCTCGGAAGACAAGTGCAGTGGAAAACATCACTGCTGATTCATTGCGCGCGCAGCAACAGAGGCACGGACGTCCGCTGTTCAAACGACACCAGGCCGCACCCCGGTTGTCGTCAAAGATGGGATGATTCCCCAGGGGATGGCACAAATGCAGGCTCGCCTTCAGAAGCAGCTTTCGTCCGAAGAGACCCCAAAATCAGAGCTCCCCAGCCGAGACATGATGGGTGTGACACCACATCCATGCTATGCTACACAGCGAAACGGACATAGTCAGCTGTGCCTCAGGCTGTCTGAGGCTCGTGCCTCCGCCGGCCCTAGCACAGCGCTCGCGCACACGCCAACACCGACTGCGCGTTTGCCACGGCGGTGCGCTAGTCCGCTCCGGAATGCCCGGTCGCGGTCGCACGTTTTCGAACTGATGATGATTCTCAGGCAAGCTTGAGATAGATGGGGGACTTGTCCGAGCGTGGCAGGAGCGTGAGTTGGAACGAAGCGACCACGCCCATCGTTACCTAGCATCCGTGTCCGGAGGGCTAGCAGCGTCGCCGTCTGGGGAAGCATTCACTGACGCGAAGCCGCCGTAGAAAGCTGAAGCAACCAGTCGACGACAAGCTTGGCGTCGGCTTCTGCTGACCAGTAGGCCCAGCGTGAGCCGGTGTCTGAACAGATCAGATGTCGTGGGGAGAGCGGGGGAGGAACATGCCGGTCACCATAACTCGCCAGTAAACCCGCTCGGTTGCGGGGCGACCCTGAAAAATGATGGTGTCTTAGTGCACCGGACGACGTCAGCAGAAATTCCGACAATACCAGGTCGAAAAAGCAACGATTTGTAACTCATTGACACTTACCGATAGCTTCTCAGCAACGAAGTAACGATTTGTAGCCCATTTACACTTACCTAGTACGTGCTCCATGATGCTGTCGGATGCCTCAGATTGTCAGTCTGCGATGCCGTCTCCCGTTAGAGGGCGCCGGGGTGGCCGCCGCCACGCCACGACGGAGCAGAACAGGGAGAGTCACCTGCCCCACCGGGTCCGACCGCCCCAGTCGTGGCCCGCTATTCGCCCATGGCCGGTTTCTTTGTTCGTTTTAACTCCCTCTGTTCCTGACAATGGTGATGGAGGTGATGGCTTCAGTTAGAGAGGCGCGAAAATGCGGGGATGCTCCCTGGATTGCCACGCTGGCTGACATGATCTTCATTGCATCAATAACTGCTGCCCCCAGAATTGCTGTTGTAGATATACTTAAGACATTCTTGCCCCCCAGGAGAGCTACTGTATTTCGGGTACAGCGCACATGATTACGTCCCAGAACACGGAGCAGTGTATGCCGTCCTTGCAGTGAGGCCCGACAGTTTTCTGGGTCAGAAGGCGTATTCATCTGATAAACCTGACGGATGCACACTTCCTCAACTAAACATTTGCAGCCAGAACAGGAAGCAGCGTGACCGTCGGATCTGTGGCCGGTGTTGACGTCTGCACCGGCCGATGTTTCAGGGCCGGCTCGTGCCCGCCAGTTGGCGCGATCTAGGCAGCGTCTCCATTCCACCCCGCTCACTCCATCACACCCCTTTTAGACCCAGCCGCTCAGCCGTGGGCAAAAAGCCCCCGGGCCCACGGACCCCTCCGGCGCCGCCGGCACCGCTGCGGGTCCAGGGAAGGGGACTGGAGGGCGAGGGCGCATGTGCGTGGAAGCGGCCGGTCGGTCGTATTGATTGGGCGGGCGGCGGCGCGGCGCCAGACCAGAGCCCGCCCGACGCCGCGCCGAAGGAGCGCCCGCCGGCCGCCGCTGACCCGCCCTGGGCCCGCAGGTCGTCACGTGACCCCAGCTGACCGGAGCCGACCCGAGGGCAGGTCAGCGCCTGCGACGCTGCGCCACCCGCCGCCCCCATGTCGAAGGTAAGCGAGGCGGGAGGAGCACCGAGGTGCGTGGGCGGTGGCTGCGCGCTGTTTTCGTGCGTCTCGTTTGATAATCCGGAAGCAGACGCACTGCAAACGCGCCGGCAAGACGCCGCTGATGTCGCGCGTTCTGGCAGGTTTTCTGGCAGTGTTGGCTCCGTCGGGCCGCTCGGTCGAGGCGGACGTGGCTGGGGTGGGGCTGGGCAGTGATGACGCGCGGCGAGACAAAGTTCTGACGCATTTATCAAGGCCGCGCCTTTGGGGCGTGTACATGGCCGGGTAGATCCGGGATGTTTTAGCAGGTCATTCGTCACTCATGTTGACAAACCGACCCGACTCCTTTCGATACGCTTGCGTTTGAATATATCGCGCAGGTCAGCTCAGGTGCCCGAAGTTCGTGTTAACGGAAATCAATACACCTTCCGATCACTGGAACCGGGCGCGTGCCATGCTCACCTAGGCCGGCTGGTGGGAAGCCAGGCGTGATGATCTCATAGATTTCGCTCTCATACATGATATATTCTCGTCATGCAGGTCACAGTCATCAATTCAGGAATGTGCTTTTGGACCTTTGCTGTTCGCCGGTGCCACCACGCCACATTTGCGTTAGGCCAGGTGACAGTTCGAGGGATTACTGCCGTTTGAAGGGCAGAAGGGGCACGTCTGCTCACGGGACAGGCGTGGGTCAGGGCTGGAGGGCACACCGAGCTGCAAAAGCGGCATCTAGAAATGTCTCCGGCGGCATCCAGAGGCGGCATCTAGAAATGTCTCCGTACTGTTCTGACGACTTTGAGCATGCCTGCTGTCCGGCGGCACGCTCCGGCAGGTTTACCGGGTCCACTAGTGGGATAATTTGAGACTTGACGTCGTGACTCTGTACTTTTATCGCGTCATTCTGCAGCCCTAATCGGTTTCGGTTTTGCAATGCGCTTCCGCGAAATGCCCGCGTCTTTTGTGGGTCAGTCAACTGTCACGGAACTGCAGACGTGGCAGGAATACCTCGCGTTCAACGGGCGTCCCAACCCGCTTGCCCGGCATCCCGACCCGAGCCGACCAAGCGTTAGCTACGCTTCTGAGGCTGCCTTCACGTCTGACGGCAGCACCTGAAGCCAGTGCCTAACAAGTGCTCGACGATTGGGCTGTGAAATGCTCCGCAACCGCCTCGGCTCCTTTCCAGGCCCATGGCCAAACGAGCCGGTCGAAACTGGCCGATCGAGACTGGCCGATCGAGACTGGCCGATCGAGACAAACCGAGACGAGAAATACAGATTGTGTATGTAGAACGCGATGGAATCTTTCGAGACCGAAGGCCACCGCTGTGACGGCCTAAGCTCACCCGTGCCGGACCGGCACGGCGCTGAAACGGGTCCGTCGGTCCACACCGTCGGCCATGGAAGGAAGCCTTGCTGTGGCGTCAGTCAATCGTCCAGGTTCTGTCCACATCATCCCGGGATGCTGCAACACAGTTTACGAAGAAAACCGGCATTCGTTGTGTGGTTTCGAGAGACGCGTATTAAATAGTGTGTCAAATGTGATTAAGCTAAGATTTCGAAACGACATAATCACGACATAATCACGACGGGCGTTCAGTTTGACAACAGAAGAACCATTCCCGTAATTGCTATTATGTGAGAGGGAACTGGGAGAAGCAGTGATTCTCCCGGAGCCCTCCGAGGAGGGCACCCGCCGGTCTGCAGCCTTAGCTTACAGGCTGCGATTCTCTGGCCCGTTCGTCGGCCCGTTCCGGCCGCTCTGGACCGCTGCGCTTGCCCCTGAAGCGCACCATAGCCCCGGGGGGAACCGCGGCGACCACATCCGCGACCGGATTTCTGCTTGGCTGGAGGTGCCCCGGCGAGCGCGGCGCGTGCGACCACCTCCGCCACCGCCCGCTGATCGTATCTCCATACGCCGTCGCCTGCACGGGACGGGTCCTTGTCACGTGTTAATGGCTGGGTGCCGACTTTTTTTGCGGGGTCGGGCGGCGGGCGACCGAGTCGGGAAGGAGCCGCCCAGCCGAGGCGCACCGGGGGACATTCTCACGGTCGGAGCAGCCGGTCGCTTCCGCCGCCGCCGTCTGCGCCCAAAACTGGCGCCGGTGTGAACGATTGGGCGAGCCTGGGGATGCCGTGGACTGCGGTCGGACTGGACTGCGGCTGGACTGCAGTGACGGCGCTTCCTTTGAGGCACTTAAAAGCACGGCCTTACCGAATTTCGTAGAGTGCTTCAGCATCCTTTTCAAAAGTATCACAATACGGCACATTTGATGGCCTCAACTGATGTGTAATCACCTTTGCAACTGCCGAAATTTGTTGTGCTTTTTGTGATAACATGTGCACTACGTGATGCTTTTTCAACTGCATCGTGTTTTGGTTTACCCCATCGAAAACCTAGCGTGGCTACGCCACGATAACTCGGGATCTAAGGCACGTTTGAGTCGACATAAGCCAAGGTTTTGAGCTAAAAGTTTTGGCTAGCACAAAGATTCCGTCTACATCTGGGCCGGAAATCCACATTTATTCCCAATTGTTTGGCATCGCCACCCGCATTTACAACCAGGCATGCCATTGTTTGTAGCGTCGATGCGGGTGAGCAGGTTACGTGAGTTGAGAGCTTACTCAGATTGAGAGTGCGCGGAAAGAGAAGCGTGCATACAGTGGCGCAGTTCACCACGACAATACTGAACAGAATTGCAAAATCTGGTGACCTGGAACCCTTTTTAATTTTAAATTCCATAGACACCTCTACTGGTAGCGACACGTAGAGCCCAACAGCCGTAACTAAATGACAGGACGAGCGGATATCCGAGTGAATGTGTACGGTAGCTAAAACAATTGTTAAATGTCCCAGGGCAAATCATCGTCGATAGCTCATTGATACGCCTGACTCTGTACCCATTAGCTTTTGTGACGTCTGTTAGTCTGTTTACAGCGCGCACACAGCGTCAATGGAGCTGGGACTCGCTCGTCAAATTTAGTCCTCGTCGCCAGTCATGAGAGGCCCCCGGAAGCCCTGGCTCCGCCCTTCCACGCGTAGCCATGCATCTGCCTGGATGGCCAGGCCCATTTCAATGGCTAACCTGCCGGAGCCGGCTGGCGTCGCCACTGTTGGACTGGGTTGAGCATGTGGTAGTCACAGCTGGGCTGCACCATGGGCCGCCCGAAGTGAGCTCGGACTAGTTCCATGTCACGGGGTGTGCCGTGCTGTTGAACTCTAAGGCTCAAGCTAAGCTGTTCGGATTATATTGGGCCGTACAAGTTCATGTGAAATGGCGTTTGCATGACGTGCTAACAGTTAAAATTCGTAGGGGACGAACCCGTGAAGAACGTTCTCCCACTTGTATTAAACAATTTTGTTTTCATTATTCCCTATTTTTTATCATATGTTTTTGCTTTTGTTCTCGGAAAAAATCAAGAACGGGCAAGTACACATTTCATGTCCTGTGAATGTAAGATAAGGAAGGCACACTGCAAGCTCGAGTACTGCGTCGTTATTGGAGCAAATGAGCCACTCGATTCCAAGTTTTTTCCGTTCTGACGTCACGCTGCTGGGTCCGCCGGCCCATTCACTGGTCTGTCCGCTCCACTTCTTGCGTGGAATCTGCGCGCTCGCTCTTTCCGTGCTCGGGACGGACTGATTCGGCGGCACCGGCCGGCCTGGCTAGAAAGCGGCCCTCTGGCCGGCCGCCGCGTGCGTCGCGGCCGCGGCTGGGTCCGGCGGCCGCGGCGGAATGGATGACCGTGACCGGCGGAGAACGACAGCGGACAATGGGGACAGTGACCGGCCGTGACCGGCAGTGGCACAGAGAGAAAACAGCAGGGACCGACAATGCCCGACAGTGGCTGACAGTGGCTGACAGTGACCGGCCGTGATCGGCAGTGGCCAACACTGACTGACAGTGATGCACGGAAACCGAGAGTGACGGACAGTGCCGACTGCGACGGGGTGGTGGAAGCGCGGTTGTCTGCCGTCAACTGATGCGGTCGACGGCACCCACTGATGACACGGCGGCACCCACTGCTGACACGACGGCACCCACTGCTGACACAGCACCCACTGCTGACACGACGGCACCCACTGCTGACGCGACGGTATCCACTGCTGGCACAACGACACCCACTGTCGACACGACGGCACCCTCTGCTGACACGACGGCACCCTCTGCTGACACGACGGCACCCACTGCTGACGCGACAGCACTCACTGCTGACACGACGGCACCCACTGCTGACACGACGGCACCTACTGCTGACGCGACAGCACCCACTGCTGACACGACGGCATCTACTGCTGACACGACGGCACCCTCCGCTGACACGACGGCACCCTCTGCTGACGCGACAGCACCCACTGCTGACACAACGACAGGCACTGCTGGAACGACGGCTGCCGGTCGCAAAAGGGCTCCTGCTGTCGCCGTTGCCGCGGACTGGTGCATCTGTTCGCTGCAGGATAATGAGTTGCTGATTCACATTAACCTCCGCGTCCCGCGCGCGATGACGTCACGGCCAGCTCGTTCGTTACGCTTGTTCTGGGGCCGACAAACATGGGGTACAATGTTCGTCATACGTCATATTTCTGTCTGCGGCAGAAGGTTTTTGTTTTTAGTTTGCGGGAGCTGGATGGAGCTCGTTTCTGGATTTAGTGCGACCCCTGGGAGGGGTCGCACTGAATGCGTGACTCCTTGCGGCGTTATCGGTACAGAATTGCCGTGGTCGATTTTCCCCTGCGTTCGTGAACTGATCATTAGGCCTTAGCATTCTACAGTAGTATATCCACACTTCAAATCAAAGTTTACGCTGACACTGAAATAACAAGGGCTTAGCCATGTATTCGGTTCCAAGAAGCGTAGGGCGTCTTACGACTGGTTGGAGAAAACTGAAGAAAACAAAGATAAATCGCGTAGTTCGCGCCATCATGCTATCAGCCGCAATTTAAGAACCCAACAGGACCTTCAGTTGGCTCGCCTGGTGCAAACGAAGCGGGTTTGCACCCGTGTTGAT